GCATAGAGAGCCAGGCATTTCTGGCAGTCTGTCTCCAAGGTTCAAAATCCATTGTGCCTAAAGGTTTCTACCAAGTGAGTTGTTCCTGGAGAAGGAAACTGGCATTTAAAAAGGGAGAGGGGAAAACCCTAATCAAAGTTCCTTGTAGCTTATGCTGAATAAGCAACTTCGGATACTCTGGAAAAAAGTGTTACCACTTAAAGCTCCAGTCTGTTGTTTTTTAACTCCCAAACTCCTGTATTGTAAATCTGTAAATAATTTCCTTAGGGGTCTCTCTCACTTGAGAGTGAGGACATACCTGGAAGGGAGAGGAAGGACAGAAACTGAATTTAACCCAGTTGCTGAAAGACTGGATTATATGCATTAAGCTGCAGTAGGTGCATTGCTTTAAAAGCATGGTTGCCCACTGAAGTAAGTGAAGAAGCAAAACGAAGGGTGATGTTAACTTTGGTTGTCCCTTTCTGTTCATGGAAAAGCCATTGAGATTGTCCCGTGTTGTCTATTAGTGTGGACTCCTGAAATGTGGAGCATGTCTGCACAGATACCTTCATGCTATGAAGCTGAAGCAATAACTTACTTTGGTAAAATGTTTAAGGCAACATGTTTATAAACTGACGTGGCCATGCTTTGTGTGATTTGGTTAGTGAAGGGCCTCTCTGTGGGCTCTACCCTTTCCTCTGTTTTCCTGGTATAAAGGTTCCTGTGTCTTTGACTTATTTTTACTTTGGGCAAACTTGGCCAAAGGGCCATTTGAACAGTTAGGCGTCTTTTTACCTGCCTAATGAAGCTAACTGCATTGACTCAGCTTTTTACCCTGCTTTCTGGTGCCCAGGGTTATGCGGGCAGCTGAGGAGACAACATCAAGCAACGTGTTCCCTTTCAAGTTGGTTCACATTAGCAAGAAGCACAGAACCTGGTTATTTTCTGCCTCCTCTGAAGAGGAAAGAAAGGTAAATTCCTGTTAGAGGAGATGAGGAATGGGGGAATTAATTTGCAATTTTTAAAGGATCTGAAGCGAATGAGATACTCCAACAGCAATGAGGTTTGGGTGCTTGGCTCTTGTGGGCCATGATTTTCAGAGAAGCCCATTCTCATGATTGTGCTCATCCAGGTATTGGCACCTAATTCAGAGAATAGCTAGAACTGGTGTTCTAAATGTCCTGGATGTCTTTAGGGGTGATCAAGATATAAATTCTGTAAAAACTTTCATAAATAATAGCATCACTGTATGGAATGTCTGCCCCATGTATAACATAAGTGACCTAGCTTTAAATAGGTATTTGAGAGGATGTTACATTAAGTTCAGGAATTAGAGGTATTTTGAGACTGTGTTATAGACCTTTGTTCAAAGCACATTAACTGGTAAAACTTCACAGCATCCCCTTGAGGCAGGCAGGTAAATACTGGTATGCTGCAGACCCATAACTGCTGGCACCTCTAACCTTGCAGAAGGCAGCTGATTTTTGTGTGTGTTACTTTTTCAGAGCTGGATGCTCTCACTGAGGAGGGAAATAGATCATTATCATGAGAAGAAGGAAACAATAGTAGATTTCAGGTATGCATCTGTTTTAATCATACCATTACTTTGCTCATTCTTACGTTTGCCCTTGATAAGGTTGCTTCCGGGGGGAGGGGTTTGCAGCTGGTAAAATAAAACTCATTGTTTAGCAGCAAATAATAACAGGTGTAGTGATTGCCAGCAACAGCTGACTCAGGACATCACACAAAAAATAATCCTCTGTGAAGATGATTTAAAATATCAACTTCACAAGAATTTTTAAGTGTAAAACAATTTATTTGACTTTTAATTGGAAAATGAATATGGTTATTTTTTTCTTGGCTCCTTTCAGGGGTCTACCCCGGCAGTTGCTTAAGTGCTACTAACCTGTATCTCTCATCGTAGAATACCCATAAGGCACTGGTGCATACTCAGCTGATACTTATTTGCTTTTCATTTTATAGCGATTCTGGTTCCGATGCAGACAGTTTCTATGGCTCAGTCGAACGTCCTGTTGATATCAAATACTCCCATCATTCCACAGAAAATGAAGGTGAGTATTTATTCTTGGATAAGTGCCCCTCCTCTATCCCTTTCCCTGTCAATAACTGAAACTTTTTGATTGCTCCCTCTTCCCATGGCACTCTAGATTTGTAGCAGAAAGCTCACACAGCATATGAATTATTTGGCTATGTTTGCAGCAGTAATGTACTAACGCCTGCTATCACGATGTGTGGTTGGCTCCAGTAAATGTAGGCTAGGGAATGCATATGAGGCCAGCACTGTAAACCCTTTGTGAAAGTGGCAGCAGCTGAAGAAGCTCAGAAATGTACTGAATACTTTAAGATTAGGCTCATACTTAGTCATTTGTTTATGCCTGGTCAGTCAGTCTGGCAAAAGGTTGGGTGACACAAACATTTGAGGCTTGTCTCCCTTTGTGGCACAGGAATGTTAATGATCTCTATTACATATGACTATCATATCAAGTCCCCTTTATTTTCACGGTGCCTACATAAAGCTTTAATTGCTTAAATGTTTATTCTGAAAATCTTAAAATAACAATGTAATGACTTTTGGTGTTATCTTCTCACAGCTAGGAAAGGAACAAGGTATTCTTAGGGTCCTATACACCAGCTACAGTAAAGAGAGGGAAATGTTTTTAATAGTGCCTATGTGTGGAATTCAGTGGGACTTAGACTTGAAAATGACACATGGAGACTTTTGAAACTTCCCTGCCCTCTGTGTAGTCCCCAAGGTCCATGGCTGCCTTTGCTGTAGTTGGTTCACATTAAAAAGGTAGACCTACTGAAATCCTGTGGGCTGCTTGGGATATCTTACACATGTCAGTGGCTGATTACCTGGCCAAAAAACATGTTAGAAAACAATGCTTCCAATCCAACATTACCAGGATCCTCGGGATTCATTTTGACACCAGTTTTGGCATTTTATTCTTTTTTGCTTTCTTTCATTCAAGGGACTGGAAAGGATGTGTGGTACTTCTGTGAGCTAGCTAGATTAAGGAGAGAGTGAGCTTCTGCCTTCCTAATCCAGGTTCATAATAAAAAAAATATTTCCTTTTTTTAACAGGAAGCACCAAATGCGTGTTGCTGTGACTTGGTCCCCATGAGTGCTGCTTAGTATTTAACACATTTATTTTTACTTGCAGACTATGACCAGGAAGAGGATGAAGAATCTTACTTGCAACCAGATACTCCAGACTCATTGAAACCAGATGGTAAGTGATATTCAAAGATCTTAAATAAAGGTGACATCCGTGAGAGAACTATCTATAGACAGGTATTTCAACTTGATGGCACAAAGAGCCCTGCAGGCAAATAAAGTAATGAACAAGTAAGAAGAACTGGCATCATAATGCATTAATTTATAATTCATAGTTAATTTCCTATTAAAATTAGTAGCAATGGAGGATGCTTTAAATCCTCAAAGAAACGTCGTGGTTAGTCATGATCCACAAGGTGCAAAGTCTCTTTCTCTGTAGATCTCTCAAAAGAATGGATGCCTTTAACCATAGTCCTGGCTTTTACATAGAGTCCATTCCTTCTGTTTTAACAATGGCAGAGCTCTTGGTAGCATTAAATGTGACTTGTCTGAGTAAACACTGTAAGATTCAGCACTGATAAAGTCCAGAATTGGGTGTGACAGTTCAGACTTGGTAGCAGTGACATTAACAGATGAAGATTTATGCCCTAGAAATACCTTACAGGAAATTTCTACTTAACTGAGGGGGGGAAAAAATCTCATTGATTTTATTCAGTTTAATTTTCTGTGTTGCGGGGCTTTTCTTCACCAGATAACATGGTCCTCCCACCAGCCTACCCGCCACCGCCAGTTCCTCACATCAGAAAAGCTGCTTACGCAGAATCAAGGGCACGCTCTTTTCCGGGCAAATCCACCGGGCCCCAGCTTCCTCCTCCTCCTCCACCTAAAAGAAGCTTGCCCGATATAAAATCTGAGGACTTCTTGCACGTGAGGGAATCCCAGCTGCACTGCAGAGCTGAACCTAATCTCAAGATGCAGCCATCAAACAGGAGGATGAGCGATGTGCCACCTCCTCTTCCCCCCATACCTCATTTCAAAAAGAGTGCCTTCAACAAAGACAGCTGTTCACCATCACCAGAACCTCTGTCTATTGGTCATGTTTTTGCCAGTCCAGAAGGGTGTGAGAAACTAAAAAATTTAAGCCTTTCCCAATGGACCCCACCTCCATTACCAGGCAGCAAACCCAAAATAGCGCATTTGTCTGAGAAGCCAATTGAGGTCAAAGTGCCCAAAGAACTTGGCAAGCCTGGACTGTTTGTGCCACAAGTGCTGCCTAAGCCGCCTTTACCCAGCCATCCACCACCTCTCCCTGGCCACCCTCCGTCCCTATTTGGCCACCAGCTGCCTGTGCCTGGCCATCCGCCACCCATACCTGGAATCAAACCTAAACCAGAGAAGGCTGTGCTTCCTCAGTTACAGTAAGTATTGCCCAGTTTCCTACTGCATGTTTACCTCACCTGGAGTACTGTGTTCAGTTTTGGGCCCTGTATTTGAAGAAAGATATGGGCAAATTAGAAAGAGTGACAAAAATGATTAGAGGCCTGGGACACCTGCCTTATGAGGACAGGTTGAAAGAGCTAGAAGACTGAAGGAGAGGTTAGAAAATAGTCTTCACATACCTGAAGCATGATTTGTAAAGAGTTTAGAGAGAGACTCCTTCTTTGTGGCTGTAGGGGACAGGACTAGGAGCAAAGGCTTCCAAACTGCAGCAGAAGAAATTTAGATTAGCGATTAGAAGGAACTTTCTGACTGAGAGACTGATTAAGCATTGGACCAGGCTACCTAGAGACATTGTGGAATCTCCATCCCTGGAAATTTTCAAGAGAAAGTTAAACTATTGAGTGGTGCTTAGCTGCCAGCCTGCAGGCCAGATCCATTCCACAGGTGCAGAAATTTGGCAGTGGGAGAGCAGTGGCAGCATTAATTGCT